GATACCCTTAACAACACATATTATTTTCACAATCATCAATATATCCCTTATGATTTAATCATTCATAATTTCCATTTTTAATCACAACAATTATCAAGATTTAATCATCACAATCATCAACCAATAATTATTACCATAATCATTAATCAACATAATATTCAACAACAATTAGCGGCCTAGCTTCGAGTGTTAACACCCGAACTTACCGTCATGCATCACATAACATTTTTATTTTTTAAAAACATCATTTTTATTGTGGTAAATCATTTTTATAATGATCATAATCAATTGGTATCAAAAATAGGATTTTAGAACTCAAAAATAGCATTTTCAGACAAATTTTCGGATCAGAATTTCGGGGGATCGATCCAGCCCTTTGGATCGATCCAAACTATGAAAAATCACTCCCAGGGGATCGATCCAAGCCCCTGGATCGATCCAGACAGTGGTGTCTCAGCCACTGTTCATCGTCTTCTTCGTTCGGGTCCAATTTCGGAAATATCGTTTTTAGTTATCGAACTTCAACGAAACTATATAGATATGTTCTTTAAGGTTCATAGATCATTTTGGCATCATTAATTCATAGTTTTAACATCAATTTAATGGTTTATGATTCTTGGTTGTTTAAGCATGTAAAACACAAAACTCAACCAAACGACCGTTTATGAACGTAGAAACGATCTATACGAACATTCTAGTCATTAGATATATCAACGGGCTTACCTCAAAGCGAAATGGAGGTTTTGAGGATTTTCTGGCGAGACTTCCGGCAAGGATTGTGACTATCTCCGGCGACCTCCAACTCTCTGGACAGCATCACTTTACTCTCCACACTCTCAGGGACAAAATGGAAGAAGAAATAGAGAGAATGGTGAAGAAATGGGAGAATTAGGTTCTTTATATAGAAGAGGAGAAGAGAAGAGGACAGGGAAGGTGAGCTGCTGCTGCGTAGGATTCCCAATTCACGTTCTCATTCGGCGCAGATGTGATTTTTAGGCGATTCTGCACGTTACCTCTCTGATTGGGACTAATTCATCCCAGTCGGGATACACTTTTTGGTCCAACTTTCTCCGAATTGAAATCCGTTTGCACCGTTGCGATCGTACAATTAAACTCTATCTAATGATATACTTTTTACATTTATTCGTTATACTTTTTCCGACATCATATTTTTGGGTGATTGACTATGACAGAGTCAAAATTGGTTTAATTGACTTTTATTCAAAAAGGTTCTCACATTTAATTCATATTATTTATTTCCATGATTTATTTCAATAAATCATTTCAAATCAATATATATTTTATTCCGCCCCAAAGCCCAATAATAATTTATTTTAATCAAAATAAATTTTGTTTAATTGAATATTTAATTCAATAAATTTTAGGGTATATTTTGGGGCGTTACATTTCTCCCCCCCTTAAAAAAATTTCGTCCTCGAAATTCTTCTAAGGCTCAACGTTCAAAATTTTGTTGTGATCGCAGTTAATCATAATCGCGTCATGTTCATTCAGTTAAATCATAATCACGTCATTATCCACATGGATAATTATTCTCAAACTGTCGATGTTACAAAACTCGTTCTTTCTTCAAGAGATTAACAATCTTTGATTAAACAAGACATTCAGTGATCCTTCAGTATCAACAACTAAAGTTCCTTCGTGATGTATAGGATTATATACTTGCCATACTTGCACAAAACTTCGTTCAGTCTCAATTCCTCGTTGTACCATGTTGATTAACAATATTTTTCCTCTGATTGAAGGTTCTTCAGTAGCATTTGAAATTTTAAGTTCGCGGTAGATGTAGTGGAAGATTTGGAGGTTGTTTAATTCATACATCATAACGTAACTTTCTCAAGTTACTTGAGTTATCTTCATATCGTTCACATAATTCAACAATAATTCGTAAGTACATCAGTGGCGTTTAGTGGTCCAAGATTTTCAAGATATGGAATTTATCATCATTCACGAGGGAGTACTGTCGATTAGTTGTACAGTAGTTTGCCTTTATCGATCTCTTGTTGAAATAATTCTTCGTTCATCTTCGTAGTAGTCCTCATTATCGTTAATGAGTCTATGTACCAATTCCTATTTATACATGATAACATTTGAGTATCGTCTCGTGTACGTCTTGTCGTATTCAAATTTTCTTTCATTAATTTGAAAACAAATCTAGATAGCGACAGGTTCGATTGTAACACTATTGTTGATCTTGTTTTGAGGAAAAAGATAATATCTTCAGTACGTGATTCAATTCGTGAATTCATAGAATGAGGAATCTTTACTAGTTCTTATACCAACATCGCATATAAGTTCGGAATCTTCACTTGAATGATTCAGCCTGTTTTTGCGACGTCATTTCTTCTCTGGTTGTCGCACATACATTTCCTTGATAGGGTTATAACGGAGTTCCTTGATCATCATCGATAGTAATCTTTATAGATAACGCAATCGTATTGATCGTTTTGTGGTCTACAAAGAGAGGTTTAACATAATGTTTAAGTCAGGGTAGTTTTACTATTGTGATCGAGTCAGTATTCCACAGGGTATAGTTTTCAAAGATCGATATCATGGTATCACCGAGTATTGTTTTGATTTCAATGAAGAATCATGGTTTTAGTATCTTGATACAAAGAATGGAATTCAATCTTTTCAAGATTGATCAAGCGAGATATTTTCAAGGGTGTAGTTAACACAATAAGTTTGAGTATTTCAAGGATATGAATCACAAGATACAAAGATAGCATTTGCGAATTACCGTTACTAATCGTAGGTTTTCTTCCTCTAATGTTTCACTCTTTGGAAGTTACTCAAGAGGTCATTTATCTTAGGGTTATAGTCATTTTGACTTTTCGTCTCGGATTTGAATGTATTTCAGAACAACGAGCCTAACTATTCATGAGTCTCAATATGTCATGTCGTCAGCAGACTGTAGTATTGGCGAGTACATTCTTGTCTGGAGCGAATCCACTTTCCTGTACGTTTTTAGGCGGGTGATAATTACTTTTTCCATCAATGGTCCGGTTTCAGAGTCTATATATATATATCAAATTGTGGCAAGAGCATCTCACATTTTCACATTATGGAAGGAACTTCTCGAACTCTTTCTTATACCATAAGATTCGTTGGTCTACTTGGTAGTCATGCTCTTGGTAGTAATCCAAGGTTCATGGCTACAGCGGTCGATCTAGGACGGGAATTGGTTAGGCGAAAAATCAGGCTTACCTACGGAGGAGGTAACGTTGGTCTTCAAGGAGCTGTAGCTTCAACAGTCTATAATAATGGTGGTAGAGTCAGAGGTTTCATACCAGGGTATATAGCAACACAGCAGGTTTACGGACCTACGTACGGTGTAGAGTATACCGTTTCCAGCAATTACTATAAGTATTTCGAGATGAATCATATTGTGGAAGCCTTCATCGTACTTCCAGGAGGGATTGACACTATGGAAGGTTTATTCACTTTGATCTCATGGGCATCCGAAGGGTTACACAATAAACCCATTGGTCTTTTGAACATTGACGGTTATTTCAATAACCTAATCAAGTTTTTAGATGATGCGGTGAGGCAGAACTTCATGGCTTCCAGTCAAAGAAAACTTTTCATTTCTTCTTTCTTTGTTGGTGAGCTTTTAGACAAGCTAGAGTTCGCTAAAGCTTTTCCGGCTTTTGGGGCTAATTATGACGAGTTCGCAAATCCCGGGGGATTAGATTTGGAGTTACATTTGTAATATTACTTCATGTAATCCTAGTTGTATTTGTGTTAGAATGATATTATTCGTAAATATTATATTACGTTGTATGGCCAGTGCGAACTACATTCTCTTCATTCTTCAGTCTTTCATTGTTGGTGTCACTGATTCACGTCATGTTTTGTATCATCATCACGATCGCGATCTTTTACGTCAATAGGATATCTGAACGAGTCAACTATCTTATTGATTTGTCTTGTGAGCATCACTTCACTTTATTTATTCAATCAGACTACATTGACGTTTTTGATGATAAGCAATTAGGTCATTAATTCCTTCATAACAAGGCATCAATTCATTCAACAAGGTTGAGCTATCTATAGCTTTTAACAAGTAAGTTCTTCGAATATGACCGAACAAATCGTCAATACGAAGTAAAGGGTAGCGATTCTTGATCGTCATTTTGTTCGTCTTTTTTTTTTAACAGGGATTTGATAGTATCCTGATAGTAAGTCAATTTTAGAGAACACAATGGATCCTCTAAGCTGATCAAATAAGTCATGATACGAAGTAAAAGATAAGGATTTGTTTAATTGACGATAGTTGATACAGAGTCTCGTCGATCCTTCTGAATTCGCATATGAACAAAATAGGTATTCTCCCAAGGAGGAAACACTTGATCAGATGATTCTTTGTCAGGGAGTCATTGATGAAAACACGTTCAATACAGAATTACGAATATTGGTCCTTTCTAGGATCAAGATTGACAAAGAATTCAATTTCTCGGAAAGGTGAAATATTAGGAAGTTCATATCAGAGAGGTGACATACTCTCGGTACGTTACTTCAGTTCAGATATTTCTCCTCGCGTAGATTTCACACAAAAAGACTTTACGCTCCTTTTGGTTGAGAGGTTTGCGCACATAAATTCAAGATGAACTCGGTCGGTTTAGAAAACAGCTTTGCTTTCACCTATATAAGGTTTCCATCATCGATCTTCAGTTGAAGAATTCTTCGTCAAGAGTTGTCAATACCAACGTCATTCAATACACGTTCAATACACGTTCAGCAGCGGTGAAGTCATACGCCAGCGAAGCCCCGGTGGCGAGTTGACATTGTACACAGCAAAGGTGCTCTGGTAAACGACCTCCATTGACCATCGATGTTGGGGTACTAATCGATTAGATTCAGGCAGGCTTGGGCTGCAGCGGGCTAGTCTAGGCAGCGGCGGTTATGCCTGGATGGAATTGGGTGTTCCAAGGAGGCTGACGATGAGATCAGGCACTAGCGACAGCCTTGGACTTTGGAGACGTTTTCTAACGATGGCCTTCCGGTAACGTTCATATGAATACGACAAAAGAACTGAGGTGAGTACGTGGACACCTAACGCTAGAATATGCATATATGTTTGAAATTACGTTCTTAATTGTTATCGTGATTGATTTGTGTAGAATACTTTGTTGAATTGCTTGATTGTGGTTCCATGGATTATATTGATTAAAAAGGGTAGAACGCATGATTTAGGTGTTGATTGATTATTGAATATATGTTTGATGAATTGTTATGTTTTGTTTGGATTCATTGACAGATGAATTGAGTCAGATTTGGAACTGAATTAAGAACATATGGTGATCCAACCTCGAATCCAATGATAAGAGCGGGCCGATTCAGCTCATGAAGCACATGTTACATGGGTATTGATCCAACCCCATGAGCCAAGGTAATTCTACCTAGAGGAACTCTAGGACTGACTCTACGAAAGTAAGAGTATAAACCAGGTGGATGCCTGTTGGGCTCCAATGGTTAATTAAACCAAGTAAAAACGTACATATGGGTTTACTTGAACTGTCTGGTGATCCATCACGTGGGGATTCCACCCACCCAACGGGGATCACCCTCATTGGTTGAGCATGACCCGTTGATCCAGTGGGAACAATCATGACTCCAAGAAAAGTAGAATGTCCTTAGTCAAGTGTAGAGTATAAATACAGATAAATAATGATCCACCACTGCAAGAAATGCTCTGATTTGATGAGAATGGAATAGGGCAGGTGCCAAGTAAATTATGTGATGAATTGTTTAGATGAACTGCATGATATTAAACCTATGTGCATGATATCAGGTTATGATTATGAATTAGTTGATTCGCTTATTGTATGTTCGAACTGTTAGATATTTCTCACTCAACTTCGTTGCTGAGCATGTAGCCTCTTTTTTCCCTTGTTGCACATAAGTAATCATGGAAAACTGACATTGGAATATATCCTGGAGGGCAGCATGACGGAGGAGATGTACGCATGCAGGGAATTAAGAATGTTTGATTAAATTATAAAGCTTCCACACTTTTTGTATAAAATTTGATATGTTTATAAATTGTTTGAGTTAAAGTATATGTTTTTATTTCCTGAGAAATATTGTATGTGGATACCAATTTAGTAGCAACCCGGTTCACTAACCTCTTTATTCGGGTTACGCGGGTTAGGGTGTTACACTTGTTCCCTTGGTTGTACAAAGGAAGAGTATATTCTTTCGGGTTGAAGTCTTGGAGTGTTGCATGTCCGAACAAGCATTCTTGAGGCTCGTTGTACAGGTTTGTTAAGCACTCGTAAGCTTAACGGGGTTAGTAAGACCTTCGAGAGAGTCTCTCGTTGGACTGGATTAGCCACACATTGTGGTGAACCATTATAAATCTCGGTGTGCCTTTCTTTACACTCTTTAATTTTCGTTTACATTATTTTTAAATTCTCGCGATTTGTTTCAAACGCTATTCACCCCCTCTAGCGTTGAGACTTTATTCTAGCTAACATGGTTAGGATTTATATATATTATTTTTTATTATAAAATCTTTATATTTATTTATTGAACTATAACATCTATATTACTCATCACACTTTACATGTAAGTCCAAACTTAACAAACTATATGTCGTTGGTCATTATTTTACGAGATCTACCCAGAAACCTAATTTTTAAATAAAAAGGTTGACTTCACAAATACTTCATATTTTGAGTTAGAAATTTTTTTTTTAATTTTTTATTTCAAAATAACGGCTAACTAGTAAGCAGGTTTCCAGAGCGTTACAAATACACATGCCTAGTTGTTCACGATATAATCCAGTTGCTAAAGTGATTAATATATAAACAATGTTCTACATTGTATTGATCAATGAATGTATTAACAACTTCTAGCGTTATGGTACCACTCAACGCCATTGTTGAGCGTGTAGTCTTTTTGTTTTCTACATGTAGGTACGAAGTAAGATTTATGTGACCCAATCCCATCTAGGGGGATTTTCATTGGAAGCCGTTATTTTCTCTCTCTTCGCTCTCGCGAAAATTTTCCGTTCCGAGACCTGAGACTGCTGCGTGCAATTTGATCCTTGTTTTTGCTGATTTGTTGATTGATCCTTGTTCCTTTGTACTCGCCTGGTGATTTCGCACGGATTGGTGGCTTATTTCGTGCGATTTGGTGGAGTTTTGAGAAACCTGGAAGTTACAAGACCATGATCGATTTCCATATTTGTGCAGTTTGATGCGTACTCATGGTGAATGATGACCCCCCAGGGCTTTGCCCTCCTGCTATGGAGGTCTATAAACCTTCAATTGTGAATTCGAAGACAGATTTGGGAATTTTGGAAAAAATGGATTCGCAGAACCAATTTCAGAAAGTGACGGAAATGGAGCTCAAATCTCCAGACCTTCAAGGTGTGATATCTAAATCTATTGTTGCTGCTATAGCTCCAGTGTGGGTATTACTGCCAGGTCTACCCATCCATTTCTTTGATATGGCAGCACTGGCCCTTGTCTGCAAACCACTTGGCAAAATACTGGGAATTGATCTAACTACTAAGAACAAATCCAGACCACATGTTGCAAGAGTCAGGGTGGAAATGGATTTAATGGCTCCATTAATCCATAAATTGTTTATTGGCACATCCACAGTAGCAGGCAAAGAAGATGAAGGCTTCTATCAGACTGTTGAATATGAAAGAATTCCATATTACTGCTCTAGGTGCTTCAAGCAAGGACACCCTGCTGAAAAGTGTAAATTGGAAGAGGATAATCATTATGCTGCAGAAAAAATGAGGAAGGGGAAACATATACTGACAGAGGAGCCACCAAATCAACTTAAACCTACTAGGCGTGGGAGAAGTAGGAGCAGAGCCCCACCCTCTACTCAACACCAGCAGATGGTTTATGTTCCTAAAACCTTGGGTCTTAATACTCAACCTTCACAGTTATATGAAGGTCAAACATCCAAAGGGCAAAACACTGAAAAGAACAAAACTGACCCAAAAAAGAATGACTTCCAGGTGGTACACAAAAAGCAGTTCCCTAAGCAAATAGCATCTCATTCTAACAAAACCTCTCCTGCTATAGAAAATCACAATGCCAAAGAGCCAGAACCAGTTGCCTTGAAACAATTTGCCTTGACACCAACTATTGGCCTCATTCCTAAACCACCTACTCATGAGGGGCACAAACACCCTGCTTACTCCCAACCTTTGGATGTGTTCAACACTTTTGAAGTTCTGCAGCAATTAAATATGGAACACCCTAAGGCCTCAGAGTTTCATCCCTCTACCATTCCAGGGGGTAGGGAGGAATCCAAATCTAAAACACTTGATGATAGTGGCAAGGCTTTTCCAATTCTGCCTATTGCTGACCCTGATCAGACTTGTGGCATGAATTCTTCAGCAAATACTATCCCCTCAAATAAAGGTGTTCCTCTTGCAGAACTGGATCCTGGCCCCAAATCAGGTGAGGATGATATTGAAGAAGTATGGTCTGATGAGGGATATGCTAGCCCTATTGGAGATGATGATTTCTTTTCTTCACCCATGTCTGAAGATAAATCTAAGAACAACATAACTGAAATTCCAACTGATACTCCAGCTGCCAATACAAGGAAAGGAGCCTCCAAAACTAAACCCCCTAAGCCACCTACTGGGAAGAAATCTAGAAAGACCAGAACTCCCCCCCCCCTCCCAAAACAGCTCATTAATGGATTCCACACTTGTGTGGAATGTAAGAGGGTCTCCTCCAGAGGATCACTCGATAGATTACACCATCTGGTTCAAAAGCTTCATCCTCATATAGTCTGCATTATTGAGCCTTTTAGAGATGCAGAATTCTGTGCTTCCACTGGAAAAAAGATTGGTTTTATACATCACCTTGTTGGATGTCAAGGCAAAATCTGGATATTCTGGAAGGATACCTACTCCATTGATCTATTAACTAATGAAGACCAAGTAGTCTTTGTGAAAGCTACTCAGCTTTCTAGCTGCAGAAATAGTGTTATTGCATTTGTCTATGCAAAAACAAAGAGTTGGCTTAGGAAGGACCTCTGGAATTCATTAGTTCAGTTTGCTCAGTCTCATGACAATGCTACTCCCTGGGCTGTGGTTGGAGATTTTAATTGTAGTTTACGTCCTGAAGAAAAGCTTGGTGGATTACCCATGTCTCTTTCTGCTAGTTGGGATTTTCAACAATGCATCATGGATTGTGGTCTCCTGGAGGTGGCTACTTATGGAAATACTTTCACCTGGTGGAATGGTAGAAAGAAGACCCAATCCATTTGGAAAAATCTGGACAGGTTGCTTGTGAATCAAGCTTGGGCAGATACTTTTAAAACTAAAGTTCAAGCACTTTCTTTGACTACTTCTGACCATGCCCCTCTTCATATCTCTGTCACTATACACACCACTTCTAATGCTCCTAAACATTTCTTCTTCCTTAATGCCTGGACAACACATGATGATTTCCATCAAATTGTACAGAAAGCTTGGGGAGTTAATGTGACAGGCCCACCCATGTTTCAACTCTATGCCAAACTTAAAGCTACTAAGTTGGCTTTGAGTAAATGGAATAAAGAGGTCTTTGGTAATATATTTCTTAAACTGGAGGAACCTGAAGCAAATGTACAACAGGCTGAGGAAGTATACCAACAGGAAGACAGTGATGAGAATCTGCTCAAGCTAAAAGCTATTACAGCTCAATATACTCATCAGTTGCACCTTGAGGAAATGTTTTGGAAACAAAAAGCTCATATCCAATGGATTGAAGGAGGGGACAGAAATTCCAAGTATTTTCACTCTTTGGTCAAGGACAGAAGAAGGAAGCTCTACATACATAAAATCAAAGGGCAGGATGGCCATTGGATTGAGGATCATAAACAGATTTCTAGCCAGGCTATTGATTTCTTTCAAAAGCTCTTTTCTGAGGAATCAAGAGGCACGATTGATTATTCTTCTTTAGCCTGTATCTCTCCCAGGATCACTGATGAAGACAATCAACAGCTTGTGGCCTCTCCTTCCTTGGAAGAGGTAAAGGATGCAGTGTTCTCTTTAAACCCTAACAGTGCTGCAGGTCCGGATGGCTTCACTAGCCATTTCTTCCAAAAATGCTAGGACATTATACACTTGGAGATTTTTGCTATGGTTTGTGGTTTCTTCAAAGGGGATTACATGACTAAAGGGATAGCTCACACTGCCATTGTCCTACTTCCAAAAGTGGACAGCCCTAACACATTTGCTGACTTTAGACCCATTAGTCTATGTAACTTCAGCAGCAAAATCATTTCTAAGGTAATGTCTTCTAGGCTTGCTGGAATACTTCCTCATGTGATATCTTCATCACAATCTGGGTTTATTCAAGGGCGATCTATATCTGAAAATATTCTTATCACTCAAGAGTTATGTCATGGGATGCAACTTGGTAATAGGGATATTGTGTTAAAATTGGATATGGCCAAAGCATATGACAGGGTTTCATGGTCCTTCTTAATTAAAATCCAAAGGCAGCTGGGGTTCTATGAACAATGGATTGATATGGTTTTTAGAATGCTCTCCAACATATGGTATACTGTCCTCATTAATGGTCACAGGGAAGGTTTCTTCACATCCTCTAGGGGTTTGAGACAAGGGGACCCCCTTTCCCCTAGCCTGTTCATTATTACAGCTGAGTTTCTTTCCCAACTTCTCAACCAAAGGAGTCAGTGCAAAGACATCATTCCTTTTACACAACCCAAGAAACTCCATCCCATTAGTCATTTAGCTTTTGCGGATGATATGATCATTTTTACTTCTGGGAGGAGGAATTCTATACTTAAAATTATGAAGGAGCTTCATTTATATGAACACATCTCTGGTCAACTGATAAGTACTCATAAGAGTTCCTTTTATATGCATCCAAAAAGTGCTGTTATGACCACTCAAAGAGTTGCAGAC